AGGCACTAAAAAGGGGGTAAAAGTTCTCATGAACTAAGTTCTCTTTTTGGTGTGAACGAAAAAATCCCAGGAACTATCGGAACTAAACGGGAAAAGTACTCCGGTATGAAAGCGCCTATTGTGTTCTTTTTAACCAAATATCTCGCAGAGGGGTGTTGTGAGTGGCACCTCATTTTCATCTAAGTAACAGACAGAGAATCAGCACTTTTGAAACAGGGCTGAAACAGAGGGGATTTTGGGATGCTTCAATGCATGATCTGTTTGGTATTTCGAGCCAAACATTTCAGAGACATGTTTTGTATTTAACTGAGAACTATTATATATTGATAAAAAACAGTATAATAGGGGACCTTTAAACTCATATATCTAAGTGCTATTGAAGTTAACCATATTATAATGAAAGTATTCCCTAAAGAATTAGTTGATACTGTACCACTAAGCATTGTGACCCGAATCAAAATACACTCTCTACTATCCTGAGTCTTGTGTTTATTTTGCATATTGCTCATGAATCGCTGCTGTGCGTGTCCACAATATAAATCTGCAGGATCTCAGTGTCTCCGATTACTTAATGTGGCAGACATCTCCCAGATGCAATTTGCAAGGCTTAGCAGTGGGCCGTGTATGTGCCAGGATAAAATGTACTGATGGATTACTGCTCGAGGCAGCAGATACCTCTTCCGTGATGGCACGATAATCCTTTCTAAAATGATAGGAAAAAAAAAAAATGTTCCTATCATTTTTTGTAAACGTGTCTCCGTTTTACAGAGAACAGCCCCGATCCCGTTCAGACATGTAATGTTTATAATGCAGATGAATGGAAGTTAAGCAATGCACTTTAATCTGGATCTGTTAATACCTCCACCGAGGAGGTCATGTTTTTTGTTAGTTTCTTTGTCTGTCATGACGGTTACGAAAAAATCTTCAGGCCCCTTTCCATGAAAGTTGGTGGAAGGCCGTAACATGGGCAAAAGAAACCTCATTACATTTTTGAGGCGGATATAGGAAATGTGTTGCTTTCGTTAATATTGCAAGATAGGGCATGCCTTTGCAAGTCTGAGCTCTCTTAGTGCAGATCCGTGATTATTACTTAATAACAGTAATAATTTATTCCTAAATCACACAATCCGGCAATTACAGACCTCAGAATTTTTTTTAAATTTATGTTACATATGACTGCAATATAGTTGAATAAACACATATATGAGGATGATATCAACAGCATCTTTAAGCTCAGTAACCAAACACCTAGATTAAAATACTGCAGTCCAATTCTACAGCTCTGCAATAACCTCCACCTTTCTAAAGGTAATGTAAGATCAGTCTTATTGTCTGTATGAATGCATCGCAGGTCATGTTGTACAGCAGCTGTAAGTGATAGCACTTTAAAGACAGTACGACAGGGCATCTGCAGCGATTCATACTCTATCAAACTGGTGAAACGCTAGATCCATATCCAAACAAGTTTTAAAGCTTATACAATATAGCCTGCACATGGATGATTAAGTTACATTCTGTTTCTCTACACTGATTCTTTCTAAGCTTCAGAGAGAGAGTGGAGAACAAAGAAGACAAGAGAGAGTGTTAGCAGAGAGAGGGAGTTATATGAAAGGAAACCATGAAAGAGCTGTCTTTCAATTTCTAATGGATTAATGAGTTTAGTGTGTTGAACCGGTGCGTGGTTGGGGTTAATAGAGATTAATCCTGAACTGCAAGTTACCATTCATCACTGCATGATAATAAAAACATTACACCCACACAAGCACACATAAAAACAAAAATAGGCACATACATTTGAAGGCATTGCAACCCTGCTTTAGTGTATCATGTATTAAGCTGAAATTGATAACTTTACACACACTAACACTCAGGTGCAACCTGAGAGGCCACAACAAGTCAACATGGACCCCTGCATATAGTATTACAGAACACTTTCAGTCATAGTACATTTGCAGGGACACACAGACTGATTTGATTCTTCTGATGTAACTAGTAGAGAGTATGATTGGGTCCAACATTGACCATAAACTGCTCTACGCCATGGCTGTATAAATTAAAGATTGAAAACATTTAACCTCATGAATGAGACTCTGGAGTGTATTCCAGGCAACCGCTGAGAGTGACCGAATAATCAATTAGACAAAACTGAAATGTCAATATTTTGATTATGCTTAACTTTAAGTTATTGATTTTTAGTAAGAAGCATTCCTGCTAAATTGAAAATAAAACTGGCCAGCACACTTCGGTACTGGGAAATGTCTATGAAGCTTGAAACGGACGGTATGGAAACATTAAAAACAATCTAAGGTCCTCCTGATCCGTAGGGACACTGCAGGATTCCGAGGATAAATAAAAAGGACATGAGACATCCTGGGGGTGTTTAGCTCAGTCCCTCAATGTGGGTTCCTTCTGTCATTGTTCTGCATAATGGCTTCTCACATGATGGCTATACCAAGGACCTCTGCGGTTCACTGCAACTTATTAATTGCACCCTGAGTGTGTGTGTGTGTGTGTGTGTGTGTGTGTGTGTGTGTGTGTGTGTGTGTGTGTGTGTGTGTGGTAGAGATAGACAGAAAGGGTTTCAAAGAAGAAAGAGTATCACACTGAATGTAAAGAATGTCAATGATAGGTTGTTATAGGTTTTTAATATCCATATACATAAGAGTAAGAGTACCTTGGTGCAGTGCCAGTAAAGCTATGTGTATAAATAGTGTCTTTTATAGCCCAACAGGCCAGAGGCAGTATTAGTCCCTCTGAGATTTAGTGGCCTTACATTAGAGACCAATAGAATGTCTCACACTTTATTAAATATATGTGAGCTTTGAACAATCAGGGTACTAAGGCTCACCTGTGCATAAATAACAATGAAAACAAAGCTGCAGAATCTGCTGCACACATACAGTACAGCTGGAGTATCTTACTCTCTGTTTTCCTGCTGCGTTCCTATCTACCTCCGTCTCTCTGGCGTTCACGCTTTATCTTACTTACCTCACTTGACATCTTTCCACACCTTACTTTATATTCATCTGTCCATTCTCTATCTCCTCCCTCTCATCCTCCTGTCAGTCTCTTACACTGTGTTTATATGTATGTGAATAGTGTGTGTGTGTGTGTGTGTGTGTGTGAGATCTTTGAGCCATGGCACGGCTGAGTGCAGCGGCCCCGGGGCACCCATGTGCCGCGGTGCACAGTCAGACGACAGAGACACGTGCCGCAAGTCCTCCCATTTACCATTTGGAACTAACCTGGCCTTCTCTTTTAAACCAACTCCATTAGTTTCCCCTTCTGAGCCTTTTTATGCTCTTTGTTGCTTTCTGAGCATCTCCCCCCCGTGTATACCTTCTTTTGTTATTTCCATTATTCTGTCTATCCATCTTTTCAACGCCTGAATTCAACGATCCACTCTAAAACATGTGCAGTTCTAATGTCCTATATTCACTAGAAATTATCCTTTACTCCCATTTTACACAGACCTGACATCACAGTCCAGCCTCCTCTCATCATGTTTTTTATTTTTCTCTCCTGAATTCTGGCCTCTGCCTTTCCTCTCCTCGGTCTCCCCTCTCTGTTAAAGCTTGACGTGTAATTATGCTTCCTGCATACTTATTGGCTTCTAGGCATTGATGCTAAATATTCAGTGCTCACTCCCGTTTAGAAACAAAGGGCTTCAACAAATAAATTGCATCTCCTCCTTCCAGCATCTGTTTCCTCTGGGCTGTATGTCACTAATAAGGAATTATCTAAAAATTACGAAGCTGGGAATTCTACTTTTATCATGGCAAAGCAAAATGTTAACATTTATTTCCCGCGTGCAAATAATAAGACAATTATCAGCTGTCAACAAGGAGGATTACTTGTAGGGTGAGACATTCATGATAAACTATATCAATGCGCATTATTACAAACATTTAATTGGATGAATATAAATGTGAAATGTGAAATGTGCATGTAGGATAACTGCAAAATACTATTATTCAGGCACTGTGTTAGTAAGTTTCCCAGTGGATAAAACAAGATTAATGTTCCCCCCAAACTCTGCTATCTTTGGAACTTGTAGCTCTTTTAAATTGCATTTTTAATCATTTTAGTTTGTTGTATATATTGTAACTGGACTGGGCTGAAAAAAGAGAAAAGTGGTAGTGCAGCAATCACGACAGAGGCAGTGTTTAAATCCAAAAAAGGCTTTATTGCTTCCAAACTCAGAAATACCTTCCAAAACAGAAAGGCTAACGTAGCCGGGCCGCTAACCGACTTATCAGCTTACCAAAACGTCTTCTTACACTGGGAGCCTCCTGCTCCCTCCATATGCCACACACAACTGAACAACTCTATTGTGGGTGTTTCTCAATGTCGAGTATACTGGCTTCCAAGCCAATATTTCAAGGATGCTACTTCATCGAGTGCCACCGAAGTACTGTTCCAATCTCCAGCATACTTGGAATTCCACCGAGGCCGCGTCCTTGGTTTGGGGGAAATTTCGACACTGCACATGGGTGGACTTTGCGTCCTTAAAATCCCCCACAATGCTTTGCGCACGGACAGATTTCAAAAACCCTTGCGGAGAATGGCTGAACTGACGCAGCACACATTTAAATGTAAGTATGTAGTGGCGTAGAACATGTGTTGGTAAATATGTTACTTTGTTACATTTGTTATCACCAAAAATATGTTCCGTGAAAGTAAAGCAAGTTCATAATTAGATAGACATCGTGAGGTATTTATTTTCGGTAAAGTTTATGTTGAAACCGTTAGAGAGAGTGGCACACTTGTTAGCCTGTTCCATTCTTCTTCGTTTTCCGAAGCCGTGGCTTGGAAGTATACTTGCTTCGTTTCTGAAGGAAGTGACTTGGAAGTACGCGACTACCAAGCCAGCATCCTCGCGATTGAGAAACGCCCACAGGCTCTGGAGCAGCTTTCCTCGACATTGAGAAACACCCACTGTCTCTGATTGGAGCCGTGTGATTGGCTGAAGGAGAGAGAGGGGCGGGGCTTACACTGACCTGGCGATGAGATAATTTAAAGAGAGGCGGACGATGGCGAGGAACAGGAACATCGGGATGGCCCAGCCGTGCCACGCTGCATACATGTAGACCTGCAACACACACACACACACACACACACACACACACACACACACACACACACACACACACTC